CCTCGAAATTCGAAATTCGAGAAACCCGGAATTTGTTTTCATAACATAGTTTCAAATTCCGAAAATTTCTCCAGCGATTTCCGAAATGAAAATTGATTTTTTCGTGCTCTCTCCAACTTTTAAATTGTGTTTTCGTTTCTGTACATATAAATATTATACATTCTAATTCTATAAGAACAAATAAAGAAAACAATTGTAAGTTACAATTATCCTGCATAATACAAGTAGACAGAGAAAAAATGCCTAAATTGCAGTTAACGGTTTTATGTCTTCATTTCATATCTACATGTAAAAATTTTTATATTTGGTTTAACCTCGTGTTCGTGTCTTATATTTTAGGATTTTCAACGGCGTTGAGAATTATTTGAATCAAAATTTTTCAAATAGGTAAGCAAATAATACCAGAAATAATAGCAGTTTTAATTTAACAACATTGTTTGATAACTATTTAGTTTTAAATTTGTTTTGTTTTACAAGTTAAATTATTATCAAGACTAAATCCTAAAATGTGTTCAATAAAAAGTTATTCGGAATACATAAAGCAATATAAAAATCAAAATTCTGTTTGGATTCATTTTTTAAGAGGATAAAAAAAACTAACAGCAAAATGTAAAATATGTTATGAAATAGTAAAAACCGCTGGTTCAGTGACAACACCTCAGCACACGCATTTAAGAACAATATACAATAAAAATGGATTAAAACAGGATGTTGTGCAAGAGGAAGATCCGAAAAGCAGCGCGTTAAAAATGATGATAACAAACTATTTATTCAACAAAAAAGATGTGAATCACTTTCTGCAATCGTTTCACGAATGTGTGTCTTAGATAAGATACCATTCAAAGTTTTCTCTACCTCTATCAATTTGAAAATTTTTTTTTTGACTAGAGACGCTCGAGATTATGTATTACCAAAATCATCTAACTTGATTTGCAAAATGGTTTTAGAATACGCAAAAAAAATCCCAGCTAAATTGATGTATAATTTTATAAATTTAAAAGAAGATGGAACAAGATTTTGCAAAAAAGACCAAGATTTTTTTTAGATGATCTTCAAGAAACCGATGTTATTTAAATGTGAATTTCCATGACAAAATAACAGATTTGGAACTTAGGTTTCACTGTAGAGAAATGATTTACAACTCTGAAAACCACATTGCAAGACAACAATCTAAATTTCAATAAAGATCTTACGTATAAAAGAACTGATGGGGCAGCTGTGATGCAAAAAGTCAGACGGCCTTTACCATGTAATCAGTATTTGTGCTTCGCATATGCAATATATTTTGTTGTAATTGATTTTCTGTATAATTATTCGAATACAACTAAAATGGTGGCTCACACATATACATAAAATGTTTGTGTAAAAGATCAAGTAAGTGAATTCGATGAATTGGATGAGGAATACATTGAAGCTGAAAATGTTGGCTTGATTGAAAAAACTTATAATAAAGCTTATTTTGTTGAGACTAAAGAATTTGGATTTATTTTTCTTATGAAAAATGTTCGTTCGATTGTAAAAAAATTTCGTGTTTCGAGAACATTAAATAATATTCTTTAGGTATACGTGAAGCAAGAATTTGGAAAACAGTTGAAACTTATTATGGACACTTAAATTAGATAGACTAGCCTAGTCAAAATGCCTGAAAGGATATTTTTAGGCTTTTATAACAAGCTTTTATAACAAGAAGGGCTTTTATAACAAGCTAAAAAGCTGTGTTATAAAAGTATTGATTGACATTGCATCTGATATCGTTATTCTAGATGCTGAAATTTTGTTAATTAAAAATATTATCACTGCACTTCTCCCAGTTAAACTTACTGTTGAAGCCCTTTGTCGAGAAGATACAAATCTACTTTTTGATGATGCGGCATTTTCTTTTATGCTTGAGAATTTCAAATCTGATGAACTTTCATTAAAATTAAAGAAGAATTTAGAATACTGAATATGCCAAAGACGAACTAATGTGTCTGGAACTCTTCAGTATTTACAAAATGAAGGAAAAAGTGAGATTCACACATCTTTCACTATACCATTAAAAAAACAATAACCAAAGTTATTCAAAACTTTGCACAAAGGTTGATATTTAACACTAATATAAAAACTTCCTCAGGCAAGTAGTCAGAAGCTGACGTTGTGATAGAAGCGATGTTGGAAAAAAAAAAGTTAGCCCATAACATTAATGCAAAAGTTGGAGAACAAAATTCAATTGAATTTATCGTCTCAACTCAATTTATCAACTCAACTCAACAAATAATAAATAGAAGTTTAATTTCAAAAACTAAATCTGTTATAAAATTCTTTGAGGAGAACGCGTTCGTGACAAAATATTAGAGTCCGTCTACTCATATTTAATTTTAATTACGCCATCGAACGTGGAGTCTAAGCAAGCCTCAATTGATGGTAACCTTTGTACAAAAGTTCAAAGGAGACTCGAAGACGCAGTTTAAGTGATCTCTGCTTCCTCAAGACATATTATAGACAAATAAAAAAATAATTTATATTTTTTATTATTCAATAATAAATAAATAATATAGTATATAAGAATGTTTCTGTACTAATTGAATTTGGTATAACTTTATGTTCCATTTTTATTTTTAAAGAAAGTATTTTTTATGCAAGAAATAACAATGAATTATATCAAATAAGTTAATTTGACTATTTTTATAGAAATAAAAAATTTAATTTCGAATTCCAAAATCCGATTTTTTTATATTTGTCATAATTAGCATTCCCTATTTATAACTTTGGGTGGTTATGGCTTTGGCTGTTTATAGTGAAGTCTTTTTAACTGCAGTAAAGAGTAGACGTAAATTGTGGAGTAAAGCATAAATGGTGATAATTTTTATTCGAGGGGATAAACTAGGTATTGGTGCTAAGCTTCAACGAAACGCCGATAATAATAAACGCAGTTCTAAGGAGAAACTTACTAACACCACATAAATTATAATGACACATTAGCAATAATGTTTTTTCTTTATCTTATATCTTCTATAGTTTTGTATTTATTTATTTTAAATAGTGATATATCTATGCATATGTATATTTATGTTCAAGTAAGTTAAACATGTGTATTTTATGAAGATTTATGTTTACTTATGTTTCCTGTTTTGTTTTGTTTTTTTGTTTTTTTTTTTGTTATTATTAAATTTATTTTAACGATAAAATTACTGCTAGTTTACTAATGATTATTGATGACTATGATTGCTTATAACATTTTTTTTCCTGAAATAAATTTGTGTTTATTCTGAAAATCTGTTCGTTTTTCTTTGTTACCAATTCTTTTATTAACTCGTTGTCTCTGTCTGTTTTTTTGTTTTGTTGTTTGTCTGTAAGCATCGAATCTTGCAATCAATTTTTGAGTCACTTCCTGATGATAGATTTTCTTCAAATATTTTATACATACTCTTGCTTGATAATACTACAATATTCAATAACTAGTTTTGTAACCAGTCAATTAATTTAGTTAACTAAATTTTTTTTTATATGGAAGAAGAAGAATAATTTTAAAAAGAAGTTTAAAAATAAAAAAAATAAAATTATTTTTTTATACTTATACACGCGTTTAGAATACTTGGAGAAGGCGTTGACTTCGTTAATGAAAAGTCTGTGGAAAAAAAGACACGCATCTTTTTTTTTTACACACGCGCACAGCCGAATATTAATAAAATAAAATAGTAATATCAGAAAAAAATACAAATATTGTGTTTTGATAACATATAAAAGCATTTGATTTTAAAAATTTGTATTTAGATTTACTTGTATTATTACTTATCCTCCTTTATATAAAAAGTGTTTTTAATAGAAATGTTTCATACTTCTCTGTCGGTTTTTATATTGCTCAGTCTAGCTCAAGCACCGCAGAGTAATTTCTTTTTTAATTTTAAAAGAAAAGAAAAGGAATAACATCAGGGTCATAAATGATGTTTTATTTGTTAAAACCTGTTTCATGCGGTAAAAAGATATTAATATTATTCCAAAAACTTGTTTTAATATCTAAATTCTCCCTTCTTTCCCCAATAAATTATTATATTTTTGTGTACATGTTTGTATTATTTTGAAACATTTGGTTATTTTAATTTGAAAAACATTTATTGTGATATGCATTATTTAATTGTTAACTCATTTTAGGTACGGTTGAATTATTTATTGAATTTTTCTATTTATTGATACGTACTATGAAAAACTTATCTAAAAATTTACCTTGCTTATAAACAGGCAAACATAATCTAATAAAAAGTGGGCCAATGTGCTTGATTCTACCATATGTATACTTGTAGATAATTATTACTAACTATAATGATTTTTCTTAATTTTTTTAACTAATTATATAAATTATAAAATAAAACCTAAAATTAACTTTGCCGAGACAATTTTCTTAAATTTATATAGTTTACTCATTTTATCCATATAATTTAAATTTAACTTAGGATTAAAAGACAAGAGGTTCACTTCGCGTTCAGTAAAAACAATAAAAGCTACATTGACGAGAATGATAGTGAAAAATCATCTGATGCAGTTTGTGATACTTTTCACAGCATATTTAAATATATCCTATAATCTTTAATTTATAAAAAGTTAGATTTTTTATGTTATGTTTATGACCTTTATATTTTTAATCAAAAAAGGATAGTTAAAAACCAATTAGCATCAGAAAAAGTGTTTAACTACCCTTGTCTTTAAAATGTGAATGATAACTTGTGAATGACGTTTCTCTTGTGCAAGATTATTTTAGATAAATGACGTTTTAAAATATTAATAAACTTTAAAAAACATAGTCCAAAGTTAGTTTTTAAGAGTTCAATAGTAGACTAATCAAGTTTGTATAAAGCGTAACAAGATAGTACATTTGTATTTACATAATTTAATTCATTTTAATAATAAGCAGTGAATTCATAATTCCTAAATAATAGAACTTAATAATGAAAAAAACAATAATAATCCATTTACACAAAAGTTGTGAAATAAAAAAATTTTAAAAAGAAATTGTGCTTCAGGTATCGTTTAATTGTGTTAGTTATGGCACAAGTAATACAAATTATCAAATTTTTTAAACCCTAAAGATTAGTTGTTTTACTACTTTTTTTACTAAATTCAGTAAGCAGTGCACATCTGAAAAAGCCCACTATTTGGAAACATTATCAGTGTTTTAAAGGACCTTCATAACAAGTAAATCAATGGTGTTTTATCGTTTTTATTTGCTATTATTTTGGATGGTTACTCTATTGTTATATTTATTTAATACTTTTTGAACATTTTTATGTAATTTTCTACCCAGCTTAGTCACATGATTTAAAACATAATTGCAGCCATCTATATATATATATAGATGGCCGCAATTATATATATATATATATATATATATATATATATTATATATATATATATATATATATGTATATATTATATATATATATATGTATATATATATATATATATATATACTATATATATATATATATATATATATATATATATATATATATATATATATATATATATATATATATATATATATATACAATATGTAAATATATATATATATATATATATATATATATATATATATATATATATATATATATATACATACAATATATATATATATATATATATATATATATATATATATATATATATATATATATATATATATATATATATATATATATATATATTATATATATATATATATATATATATATATATATATATATATATATATATATATATATATATATATATATATATATATATATATATATATATATATACAATATATATATATATATATATATATATATATATATATATATACATACAATATATATATATATATATATATATATATATATATATATATATATATATATATATATATATATATATATATATATATATACAATATATATATAAATATATATATATATATATATATATATATATATATATATATATATATATATATATATATATAAATTTAAATGCTGTTATATATATATATATATATATATATATATATATATATATATATATATATATATATATATATATATATATATATTATATAACAAAAAATAAAAGCCAAAGTAATATATAAATATAAAACAGTACCATATTGAACTAAGTTCACATGAGTGTGCGAGCCGCGCAACTGTAAATACGCGTCACCTTAAAATAAAGATAAAAATAGCAATATTGTATAATATTGTAACAAGTGACGATAGAAATTTTTTTATTAAGATTAATTTCTTTAAAATATAACAAAATAATTGGATGTATCCCATATCTTGAAAATTAGAATTATGCACTAGTAGAAACATTGTTCACTACTTACTTTATGCTTTATAACAAATACTTTTTGGGCACACAGTTCTGTGATGAGTTGAAACAATTCCTTTTTAAAAAATACCTTTAAATATTACCATATAAGTCTTGATTTTTGTGATACCATAGTGCCATAAGGTATGTGTGACTGATAGCAGAGTTAAGGCATATCAAACAATTCTTTGGAAAAAAATAAGGGATAAATGTTAATATGCCACCTTTGTTTGCTTTTTCATCTATAGAATTTTTCCTACCATTTGCCATCATTTGCTATTTGCCATCATTTAAAGCGGAATGAGAAGTGTCTAGAGATTATTCTAAACCTAAGGAAGACTGTACTCTCCAACGTAATGATTGTTTGAGACTTGTTAGAAAATATCTTCAAAACAGTGCAATTCATTCTGATTTAAGGAGAACCTCAATCAGCTCGGCATAGCAGATCCACTTTTTAAAGTACAAATAACTGCCTAAGTCAGCTCTAATAAACCTGCATCTCCTATAAGCACTGTCAAAATATTAAATACAATGGTGGTTGACTCTATAAAACTATGAGAGGTAATATTTTTTTATAAAAATGTTTCAAATTTATAACAAAAAGGTCTTAAAAATCTTTAAGACTATTTTTAAAATTTTTTATATTTTTAAGAAACTTAATAGTCAGAAAACGTTTTTCAGAACCCAAAATCAAAACTGAAGACCTTGCACTGCTTCAAAAAAGGACTGCCAAACCTTTGGCTTAGCGTCACTAACTCAGTTAGTTGGCATTAACAGAGTTAGTGACACTATGATTGTGGAGACTTCTGTCTTAATTTGAAGCCATTGGCACACAGTAGTCTTAGTATTTTCCTCAAAAAAATTTCTAATCTTTTTAAGAGAGTAGCAGTCACTCAACTAATAATATTAATTTCTGAAAGTCTCTCTTGACATCATAAAAGTGAATTTTCTTTGAGTCTTGAGGTCACGTACAATGCAAAAACTTTTAACTCAAAATATTGCCATTGATATGTTTGCGGTTGATTTTCTGAATAAATACCAAAGAAACTTTGTAAATGTCAGACAGACCTTGTCCAAACAAAATGATATCTGAAAGTGAAATCAAAATATTGTCTTGATTTCATTTTCAGCATTTCTGAAGTCTTTTGGGAATTTGATCTTTTAGCCAATGTTAACTAGATTTAAAAAATAAAATCATCTTGGAGCTTTTACCATTTATTGAACTTCATCTTTTTTTTGGTTTGGTTAAACACACGTTTTTAGTTTAGACAGAATTTCGGCCCAATGTTTTCAGGTGGCCTTAATCTTTCCACACTTGACCATATCAAGTTAAGTAATTTGTAGGGAATATCTGTTACAAGCTTCTCAGCATTCTAGATCTCTTTCAAAGGATAGCAAAGACTGCTACAAATCTTAAGAATTTTTGATGCCCTGTCAATGTTTCAGTCTGTAATAAAAGCATATTTTGTTACACTTCTGAAGAGTTACTTTTCAGAAAAATTGATTGCTTTTAAGACATCTAATGATATCTGGCATGAACACCGATTTGACCCGTCAGAACCAATGCATTACTATTTTAACTTACATTACCAGAGATAAAAAAAAAGAAACTGCAGTCATACTCTGGGTATGCAAAAAGGTTTCTTTCATGTGTTGTGGATTACAACAGCATTTGTAAAGAATGAAATCTTAAAAAGAATTAATATTTAGCGAATTTTGCTCTTTATATGTTTACAATCAAGTTTGTTTAATATTGTTTTAACAGAGTATAAACTAAAATAAATATTCAAGAAAAAAATGTATATATATATATTTTTAAATACTATACTAGTGGTATACCTAATTTTTGTAGAATAATTATATAAATTGAATCAAAGTAAACTACGTTTTTATTTGAAGTTTATTGCTTAGTTAAAATTTGTTTTGTTTGGAGTATTAAAATTTGCGTTTAGAGTGTTTTTAAATGCTTTAAAAATTTTTACAAATTTAAAAATTGGCGAGAGCATATTTAAAATTTCTGATCAGCTTCTAATAATAACATTTCTAATCAGCTTCTAATAATAAAATTTCTAATCAGCCTATTAAAATAAAATGGTTTATCATTTTAGCTACTATACGAAATTGTAAACGTGGTTATTAAAGTCGCAAAGAATTTTTTTCTGTTTTCATGATTTTTTTTTTTTTTTTTACATTTTCGGATATTATAGAGTTTTTCATTTACTTATTCTTAACGTATTTATTAATGTTTTCAATTTTTCTTAAAAATTTTGTTCTATTAAATATTGTTTGAGATTTTTTTTTTAATTCTATATTAGATTAAATCAAAGTCAATCTCGCATTATTAAAGTGTGAACAATGACGAAAGACAGTTTATACAATAGAGATTGTTTTAATTTTTAAATGATTAACCAGTGTTTTGTTTGCTTTTCGAAACTTTGATGTTTTTAAATTTTGAATGATAAAAGCAATAATTTTCATAATGTTTTCTTTCTATTTTTTGTGTGACCATAGACCATAAATCCTCACTATTATGTTTTAAACTTAGTTAAAAATGTTTTAAACATGGTTAAAAAATAATTAAAAAAAAAATAACAGTTCTCAAAAAGGTGAATAAAAGAATTATAAAAATATCGTAATACACTAATTTTATATTTATAACATTATTTTGCTTTTTGATAAAAAATCTTGACAAATAAAATTTATTTGCATCTACAGAAAGATTACTGAGGATTAAAAACAGGATAAAAAAGAATTTTAAATAAAGTTATAAAAACTCAAACAATTAAAACTATGCAAAAGTGTAAATGGCACTTTCACAATACATTTAAATTTTGCAATTCCCAGTTACCTTATTCTTAATTTAATTAAAATATATAACATGTTTATGGATTATATGAATAATGGAATTAATAAAAAATTTGAAATAGTTCTCTTTCAAAAAACATTTTTACATAAACAAAAATATATAACTCTTTATTACTTATATTCTTACTGTTCTTTATATGAAAATAGTTTCTTAATATAAACTATTTTCATATAAATGAAAATAGTTTATATTAATATAAACTATGACTATACTATAAAATAATTTCGTTTCTAACTATAACTATATATGAAATAAGTAATTGAAGTATAGTATTGAATTAAATATTGAAATTATTTATTGAACAATTAATGTTTTTATGAAAAAAATGCTAATTAAATTGTATTCAATATAAACTAAAAATACCACTGAAAAACAAACTTTAAATTTATTTTAGTTTTCAAAACAAGAAAAAAAAACATACAAACTAAACAGCAACAACTATAAAAACAAAACAAAAACAACTTAAAGCTCCAGTGATAATAGAAATATACTAGAATCAAAAGTTTATATGATTATTTATTTTTATTATTAAATATTTATAGTTATTATACTTTTGGTAATGAAGTTCAAATTATCGGTGGTGTTATTCAAAAAAAAGAAAAGAATATGGGTGTCTCTACAAAAGACACCCATAATCTTTAAATATATTTTTATATGGGTTATATTAATATATGCACATAATATGTGCATATTAATATATGCACACATTATGGGTGTATATTATTATATATACCCGTTTTCTTTTGAATATATTGTGTATTTATGTTTTGCATAAATATTGTGTGCTTATATTTTACTCGTCATTACTAATTTTTAAAAAGTTGATAAGCTTTGCGTTTACAATTTTTTTCTACTAGAGACTAGATCTAGAAAGAGATTTAAATTCAAATTATAAAAAAACAATTATTAAACCTAATAAACGTCATACACTTATTTGTATATCACCTTTGTTATGAACAAAGAAAAGAAATCTATGATAAAC